GGGGGGGGGGGGGGGGGGGGGGGGGGGGGGGGGGGGGGGGGGGGTGGGGGTGGGGGGGTTGCTCATGTGGGTGGCGCTTGCATTGGAATCTTTGGCCATCGTTTCCTGTCCGTGAGCGTGAGGGAGGGGTGCTGTCTCTGCCCGCGACAGGGACACCGCCCGTACTCGAGAAAGTGTCGCTCCTCTTGCATCAATTACTGCAAGCAGCACTCCAGAGGTTTTGTAGCTTCCCTTGTCACCTCATCTGTTTGTCCCTGCTCCGTTACTGTGTTCACTGGCTTTTGATGCCCCTCCGTTCATGATGCTCCGTCCTCCCGAGGACGCGAGGTGAGTGGTTTAGCCGCTAAGGCATGCGAATCACGAGCACGCCCCCTCCTCCCACCCGTCATATTGGTTATGCCAGGACACGTCCGGGCAGGGGGGCCCGGCGTATCGACCTTTCGCCGACGGCCCAGCCCTCAGCGGAGAGAGGCCCCGCTACGAGTTGGGCAGCAGCTACCAGAGCTCCATCGACTCGTTCGAGGAGTTCATGAAGAGGTGAGCTTGGCGTTGCGGACCGACCCAGAAACATGCGGCCCATTCGCGAAAAAATTCAGAGGATAAACATGATCAAAACAGTGTTTAGTTGGGCGTGGATACACAGCGGGTGTGATGCGTTTCCGTTTCGGGTATTAATGTTCAGTTTCGGGGGCGCAAGATAAACGAACGAAGTACAAGTGCAGGAATTTTGCAGTTCGGGGTAAGGCTCTTCTTGTGTCGATATACGGCGCGCTACATGTTGTCCAATATTAACAGCAGTTAGTCGGTGCCTACGGCGACGCCCGCTGCTGCTTGTGTTGTTCTTCGGAGGTGTTCGGCTGTGCCGTCGCCGTTTGTCGTTGAAAAGCAGGCGTCCGCGATGCGAGTGAAGTGCTGCTGATGCTGTCGGTAGCAACAATTCCAGTATCGAGCACCGCCTTTAGCGGCGGTCGGACATCAGCAATATTGCCTCCTGCCCCCCCCCCCCTCCGTTTCAGCCACCCTTGGCAAAGTATGAAGGAACGATTGACTATCGGTGATCGGTCCTGTGGGAAGAACGCTACGTCCTCTCGAGGACGAGTGGTCAATGGTTTGACCGCTAAGGCATGCAAAACATAAGAGTAAGCACCCCCCCCCCCCCC